ACGTACTACTCTCTCTCTCTCTCTCTCTCTCTCTCTCTCTCTCTCTCTCTCTCTCTCTCTCTCTCCGCGCAACACAATCATACAGGCTCCAAAAAATACAAGATTCATCTTGCATGAATCAAAATCGGACTTCAATTTCATGCAGCAAAATAAATCTTTTTCCCCTTGCGGATGCAACCTGATTTGGATGCAAAAATCCTCATCTTCTTGAGTATTGATCGTTCACAAACTCGCAATGAAAGAGAATGATACCTTTTCGGTTCTCGAAGCCTACAACATCCCTTCAAAACATGCATGTCCTCTTCCAACGAGCTCGCGCCATAAAACCCTTCCCGGATATCAGCAAGTGAGATAAGTGCATTGCACACATGCTTAGTAAGCAGCCGGTCCACTCTCTGTGTAGCCATATCCTCTGTCTCTCTAGAGAACGGCAATGAGCCACCACTTTCAGCTGAAAATATAATATCCATAGCATTATGGACACCATCAACAATGCTAGAGGGTAATTCATCATTCATTGGGGAAGACAGAGAAATATCAACTTTCATACGTGTAGTCAGAGAAAGGTCCATTTTACAGTAAACTTCATCAGGCAAGTAAAAAATGTAGAGGAGAACCATAAGGTCTAGCTGGGGAGTGCCACTGAAAGTGACCTCAAAGTATTCAGAGTCTTGGTTAGAGCAGCTTGAACAGCCTAATTTTTTCCAGAGGGAGATTCTTGATCGACTGTAGCGGTTGGAAAATGATCCCTTTGCCCATTTCATCACAAGGTTGAGATCGATGTTCACAATGTCGAATGGGTTTTCAGGCTCTGTGAATCCATATCTGTGCAATAGAGCAGCGTTGCCTAAGGTGCCATAAGTATTGAATACCTGAAGAAAGAGGAAGTAAAAATAAAACCCCAGTTCGGGTGCAACTTATTGGCGTTTTAAAAGATGCCACCCTTTTGCAAGGGGAGTCAGTTTTTATCCCACTAACAAATGACTCGCATTTCTCGAGTGCGTTGACAACTATTTGGAGTCTTAAGTAGCTCAGTGAAGGGGATAATTCAACCACAAACGGTCCCTCACTAAAATATTGCCCCAACAGCACTAAACCATGATTTGAGGCAAAAAGAAGAACATGCCTATGTTCAGACAAACTGCAGAGATAGAGAGAGAGAGAGAGAGAGAGAGAGAGAGAGAGAGAGAGAGATTCTCAATTCAAAGCCCATTTCTGACTTTCATTATCGTGAGTTTGGATGCCAACTTCGGTTCGGCGTGCTCCACTTAAAGCCATCAATTTGTGGGTTTGATAGAAACTAAAAACTAGACTAGCATTTTCAATTTTAATCTAACCCACAAGGTAGCAGCGTTTTATTGCTGGATGCATACCTACTTGGGGAACAAAATGGCACCCAAAGGTGCCACTCCAAACATAAATAAGTTATAGCCAAAAACCGGTCTGAACCACAGTCTGACCAGTATCCAGACAGGGCCCTAATTTTGGGTTTCCCTAGTTTACAATTGTTTAAGTTTTAAACTTATATTTCTATCGATACTATATATTCAAACATGTCCCCTATGTCAGCAAATCAATAAGCTCAAGTCCTAATCCGAATTGACCCAGGGGCTCACTCACCTAGTCAAAAGTTAAAGTGCACGGTTTCTGAGCCATGCTCTAAAGCATGAAATAAAATCTTTCAAAAAGACAAAAGAAAGCACGAAATAAAAATATGAAAGCACCTTCTAACCTCATTTCCAGCTTTGACATTCTTGATCAGTATCATTCCCAAAGCATCTGGGTCATCTCCTGCGCTTGAATATGATTCTAAGATATGGCCATTTAAATGGTTTTCATCAGAAGCAGTAGCCATAGTCTTGTGGTTCTTTTGGATGCCAGAATTTTCAAAGATATCACCAAAAGAGTCGACAACAAGCTCCTCAATTGATAACTTAGCATCGTCATCAAAACCACCATCATTGCTACCGCGATCATCGTCATCATTACCACCATTATCTCTGACATCATCATCCTCAGAGCCAGAATTTGCAGACATGGAGGTCAAGTGAACATCCTCTGCTCCAGTCTTGTGATTAAACCTGAAATTCTCTCCACAAATAAGTCTTATAAACTTAAATCCTACAATAAAACCATTACAAAAAAAAGAAAAGTGATATAATAGTACCATAGAAATGCAAAAGATCACGTACCACTAACTTCAATATTTTTAGTGAGAAGTAACATTAAAACTAACTTCACCAAAATTCTTTTAGTGTTAGCTACAAGAAAATATATTAATGGAAGCAGAAACTACAAAAGCACTTAAAAGTTTTTCAATTTTTTTTCAAAATTTCTTTATCAATAAAATATCCATCTTTTTATAACAAAAATGAAAAATTATTAAGCCAAACACCCCAAATCAGCAGTAGGTAATAATAGAAAATACATGTAGTTTTCCAAGAATATCGAGAGAAATATGAATATCTTCATAATTTCACCAGAACATTATACCCTGTTGGTCTTACAGATCACACTTCAAGGTCGTATTTCTCTTTTTCCCTTCTCCAATGTCCTTTTTATGTGACAAATTGGAGAAATGGGACTATCATGTCACTCATTTGTAACAAACTTGTAGTGGCATTTACATCCACATGTGAGATGCAATGTTTTGACAACCTTATTCATTTCAACCAAAATTTCTGACCTCCCTCCCAAAAAATGGCATCTCTCCATAAAATCTTCTTCAATATATCCTTTCTCACCTTCAACCCATTGTTCCTCGCTATCAGGGCAGCCCTCCCTTAGACTCCGGAGTTCACTTCCCCTTCCTCGATATCTTAGTAAAAATCTTCTCCATCTCCCCTCTGAAACAAATTTCTATGCTCTTACCTCCCACTCCCCTCCTTCCCCCCCTGCCTCCCACTCTCCTCTATATATACCCATATAACTTGTTTGTGCGTGTTTCTTGTACCCACTCTTGAAATTACCTAATGTAGAGCATAGATCAATAATAAAAGTTATACTTACAGATCAGCCAAAGGCACCATTCCAGAGCCATGATACTCATCTATTTCAAAAGCTCGAGATGCAATAAGAGTTTTTGCCGCAAAATATTGCTCCACACCAAAATAATTCTCATTAAGATTCAATTGCTTGGCAGCTACAAGGGGCACAATACACTCTTTCCAATCCTCATAAAGAAGAGATTTGTCATACTTCACTGCCTGCCTAGAATTTACCACAATATGCAAAATGACATATGTTTGATATTAAAATTATTGAATTTCAGTTTTAAAAAAGAGGGGAGGAAAAAAAAACTAACCATAAATTACATAAATAAAAATACCAATTGGCATCAAATTGGAAATAAAATGAGTCTCAATTGTGAATAAAATAATTCAACATTCTCCCAGTCTATTTATCATGTAACACTAATATGTTCATATAGAAGATATGCGATCGAATGAAAGGTAATACAACATTTCCATCAGACAATCATCAAATGATAAAATGACGATCATCAAATGACACTCGAAGCAAAAGTTCATCAAATAAACAAATTGAAATTAGAGTGGCATGAGAGTGTAATGTCAACAACACCAAAAGGATGTTAAATGATGGATTTTCATGGAAAAATTCCATAGTTACCCGAATCTCTCATTGAAGGTCGTGATTCCGATTCGGGACGCCGATTCTGCTATTTTGACTAGGAATCTTCACGGAACCAGTTTTCATGAAGTCTAGAATCTCGATTCCATATTTTAGGAATCTCGATTCCAACACTTATAAAATCTCGCTTCCCGATATTTACTAATTCTTGATTCGGCAATTGGTGAATTTTGATTCTACACTTGTTGAAACTAGTTTCCACATTTATCGGAATTCTATCCCCCGCCCACCCCCCTTTTTATTTTTTATTTTTTATTTTTTTATGAGAAGTGATGTTTTGAAGTTTTCAAGGAATCCAACTACTCGAGGTTGACACTAAATCTCAACCTACAAGGTGTAGTCATCGTTTCTGGCCTGAAATGACCAATAGAAGCGAAATTGGTGGTCCACATTCTCTACTTAATTATTTAAGTATGCATTGTATTGATCCAATGGAGAGATTGCAACTACAAGACTTTTAGAAATAATGTAACACAAATAATGTAAACGTGCATGTATGGTATGTCAGTAAATGAATGGCATTGAGACATGTATTGTTTCCCTCTAAGTTCCCTCTCAATTCCAAAGATGTAAGAATCTCGATTCCATAAATGAAGGAATCTCGATTCCAATTAGGTCGGAAACTTGATTCCAAAGAGCTAAGAATCTCGATTCCAGCTATTTATGGATCTCAATTCTATTTTGGTCGAATCACGATTCATAAAAATAAGAATCTTGTCCCCCACGATTCCTCTTGTACGAACTTTGATTCCAAAAACAGGAATCTTCCAGATGGTGGTAATTCCGCGATTCTAATTCCTAAATCGTTTCGGTTTCCAAATAGCTTCGAGTAACTATGAAAAATTCAATAGATAAGACCACACCAAAAAGTCAGCACACAAACATCATGGAATTAAACTCACACCTTGGGTATCAAAAGCAACATAAAATATCACACAAGCATCATGAAATTACATGCACAACATGGATATCAAAAGTAAGAGTGTAACATAACTACCAATAAAAATTTATAATTGATGCAAATAAATGTATGCATCAAAGTCAGCAAAGAAGTATTTACAATCGACATCGATGGGAGATCTCTCCTGTAAATGAGATTTTCTAATAATCTGATAATAGAGTGAAGTTTGTTCTTGTGCTCGGGATATTTTCTACCAAAATTACCCCTGCCTTCAATTGCAATCATATTTCTGTACTTTTTCATCATTTCCACCGGTAATTACAAATTATTAGGAAGTCTAACAAGCATCGAATGTGTGTCATGATTTAAGTAAAAATAATACCTACCCTTGCTTTATATGTTATTTTCATCTGGCAAATGATAAGAAGTATCCCTACCCATAAAGGATTTGAAACATTAGAGGATTAATCTTTTTCCAAAAAGATTGAGCATGCTAGCTGACTTCACCACATGTGTGCATATAAGCAAATCAACATGCATGTATCTATGTATGTTTTATCTGCATGAATGTATTTTGAAATTATGTACATGCCTACGTATCATTATGGATGTATGCATGCATGCATGCGGCATGTATGTATATATGTATTTGTGTCTCTGTATGTATATATGCATGTACGTCTATGTGCATATATATGTCTAAATAGTATGACATGCAATACCAATATGACAGTGGCCCTCATCAAAATGTCATTTGGCATGGAAAAATGCAAAATGCCACTATATATGTCCCACCAAATAAGGATCGGATAGGGTATCTACATTTTGAAACAAGCTACAAGAGCTTCGTATGGTAATATTTCCAAATATTTGTTTTTTGTGTACATAAAGGCTCTGATATAGATTCCTGTACATTTACAAAAATTGCTATAAGAAAAAGAATAAAATGATCTTTCATCATATTTTCAGAACTTGACCTGAGTAGAGTAATTGAGTCTACTTGGCTCTCTCATTGGGATGTTTAAAAGGAAGGGGCAACAGGATTTTCAGTAACCAATTTCCAGGTGTATGCAAGACAACAACAGCGTCTAAGATATTATCATCTCTTTCGCATTGGCTCTCCTAGAGTTCAATGAAATCAAAGCTCAACTCCTGTCAAAGACTGAAATGGTTGTCGCCTACAACAAAGCCCTTGAGCATTCCTAGTGGCTACATCAAACCCTTCTCCTGTAGGTGTCTTGAAATTTGACAGCAATCATGGCACTATTCATTAGACTTTCTCCAGCCTGATAACATGCACAATGGTGCCAATCCCAAACCCTGAGCACTCTTGACAAGCCTTAAAGAGTTCGCTCACTTTATCTTAGCCTTCCCACAGCAGGTGATTATCTCAAAGTTATTTGGTAGCTAATAGGTACCTCGAATTACTCATGGAAGCTGACTTATGTCTTTGAGGTGATTTGAATTTCGGGCACATGGTGGCAATTTCCTGTCACCATATGCTTTGTCCTTCTGCACATGATGGAGAGTGTAAAAATTCTCGCATTTACATAATCCCCCCTGTGCCCAGTGGGGTTTCAGTTGTTTGTGCTCTCCATTCTTCTATCACTGCTCTCGTTACTGCTTTCTTCTTTCTTCTAGCATGCACCTGTTCGTTTTTAATGGCACACTTGTTTCAAGAAGAAGGGGCTGCCAAAGCCTCGTCTTCCACCACACTTAGGAAGCCATAGCATCCATTGGTTAGCATGGAAGCCGCGGCTTCCCAAAAACACATTGTCCTAAAGTTGTTTTGGATGCTGTGGCTTCTAAAACAACATCGCAGTTTCCGCCAAATAATGCAGGAGGTGCTACAGTGACAGAAGCCACGGCTTCCACCCTTAGATTTTATTACATGTTTGGAAACACTACGTGCAAAAGTGCAACTTGATGTATACCTTTTTGCATTCGAATGAAAATAAATATTAATAGAGAAAGTAACAAAATCTACAGTCAAATGGGTAAAGCCATTTCATTAACTCTAATGTCCAATTCATCAAGCAATTCATACACAATCCTCAAGATGTTATTACATGTTTGGCAACACTACGTGCAAAAGTGCAACTTGATGTATACCTTTTTGCATTCGAATGAAAATAGATATCTATAAAGAAAAGAACAAAATCTACAGTCAAAGGAGTAAAACCATTTCATTAACTCTTTATGTCCAATTTGTCAAGCAATTCATACACAATCTTCAAGATGCTTGGTACTATGACGAAAAGTTTGCAAAGTTTAAGAACCTAAAAGATTATGGAATGATAGAAGGCAACATAGTGGGTGAAACCTCTATGATGTTCAGACAGCTCAGACCAATAACTATCCTAATTAGGGGTTTAAATAGTTCCTTTATGGCAAATTGGATTGAAAGGATGGCGGTCTCTTGGGATTATTTTATTGTAAAGGGATTGCATTGTTCGTAAACAAGTTAAAGAAGTATCAAATGTGTGAGAGATAGGGGGTGGGAAAGAAGTAAAAGACAATAGGATGTAGAGAATAGGGACATGCACATATTCAGTCAGGGAGGTGAAGATGGGGTGTGTTATGCACTGGAGATGGTAGTCAAATTTGCCTCTGGCTGGACAAGGGCTACTAGTGATGCAACTACCTCTGTTTTTAAGATGAACAAGTCAAAAGAAGTTCCTATTAGTTATTACTTCCCATAGTAAAGGGTAATTGATGCATGGTGTATTAAGCTAATATGTCATGAACTATGAAGCCATGAATTGCATAGCCTCTAAAGATTTTAGCATTTACAATTAAAAAGGAGGCCCAACAATAGGATCATTATAAAGTCAACGGACATTTTCCTGGTTCATTCATGCTATGATTGGTCTGCTTGAACATAGCTCTTTGTCTGTTGGAATTTAATGTACAGATCTAATAATACAAGGTAGAGTGATCAAGCAAGCAACCAGATTGCATTACATACAATAAAATGCATAGTAACATCATTCATTGATGCTATTAAAGCATGCAAGACCACAAGAGCACACACTTATGTTAGTGTACAGCTATGTCAGCATAAACATTTACTGAACCAAGGCCCCTTATCAATTCTAGGCTTCCAGTTTATGTCCCACCAATTGACTTCTTGCCCTATTTCACTCTTGCCATACACAAAAGAAAAGGAGAAGCAAAGGACAATAACATCAGTACAATACTCATACCTTGTGAAGTTCAGTCCCAACAAGAAGTGTATCAACTTCCTCCAAATTCCAAACCAAAGGCACAGGCTCTTTCTTAGGCAACAATTGAAGATACCCATACCAATTCGATTCTTGCCCTATGCTTAACTCAAACATCAAGGCCACAGCAAGGCCAAGAGAATCTCCAATACCCACATCTTCGATAAAATTTTGGGCCATAGATGTCTTGATTGTGAGGCAAGCACTCTTGGGTATGGTCGCAATTAAGTCTCCGACACTTAAATCACAAAGTGTTTTCACCCCAATTCCCTCCACACCATCTGTGAAGAGAAGAGCATCACTATATTCTACTCCATGAGACTTCATCCATCGTTTGAATGCTCTCAAACCCCTAAAAATAAAAAATTCAGAGCAAGATTGAGACTTATATTTCAGTAATAAATTGTGGTGACTTTCACAGTGAGTTTTGAACTGGATTTTGAAGCGTGAAACCAATTCAAGATTTTGTTAGAAAATTGAATCATGCGGATTTAATGCTATACATTGATGATCGATGCTTCCCAGATTAGGCCATAAGTTGATTGTTTTCTAGATTATTATTTTTCCCTTATTCATTCATTTGGAATTTCTTTTAGTCCAAATTCATTTGGAATTACTATTAGTCCAAATTTAATCCTTTGAGTGAAATTGTCCAAACAACACCATGTAAGACCATTTAAGCACACAATGTTCCTCAATTAAAGATATTTCATTTAGCGCAAGAGAAATGCAAAAAAAGTTATTCCCTTTTAGCTTGAAATCCATTTCTGGTCACTTTGAAGTTCTACTTCTGGAAAATAAATAAATAAGAGACAGAATAGCCTGCAAAAAAATGAAGTAAAAATAGGAGAAAATCACATGAAAAAACCCAATAAATTTAGAAAAACAAAAAAGTAAACAATAAGGAGAACGGAGAAAAAAATACATATTTGGATGAACCAGATGTCCCCAATAGATTTTATAGTAAGAATCCCTGCCATGCAATGCATTTGGACTGTACGTTCTACCTATGACCCGCATAATCTACAGTCGAACGTTAGAGAGAGAGAGAGTAGCTGCAGCTGTAGAGAGAGAGGAAGCAGCTGAAATCGTAGAGAGAGAAAGTGATAAGAGTACAACTGCACGTAGAGAGAGAAAGGTTGCAAAGGAGATATGGTCGAGATATAGAGCATACAGAGCAATGTTATAATATCTAAAACAACACAGGTGTTGTGGAGAGAGAATCCATAGAGGGAGAAGCAACGAGAGTTTGTTTTCTAGATTGTAGAGAGAGTGTGTGTGTTTTGAGATTGTAGAGAGAGAGAGAGAGGACCTTGTCATAGCTGGAGAAGACGAGAGAAACCTGTGATCGGAGCGGATCTCCTTCAAATCAATCCCCTTCCTCTATCATCTGTACTCCATTACTACCAGTGGGCAGGCTATGCCCACAAAGAATGCGACTACCTCACATTTATAGAGCAGAGTTCTAAACAATCAAATTTGAGACTACCTCAATAATTTCACTCGAGGAGGTTGTTTCGATGCCCAAGTATACCCAAATTGATCATCTCATTGCCAAGATGTGTGTGACATGAGAAAAAATGGATTTTAAAATTTGAAAATAGTATATTTTGTGGTGCAATTTTGGACTGCCAATTTTTTAGATTTTTAAGTTTTAATAGATATGTTGATCTACATTGTGTTTAAAGCTTTAAACTTTATAAATAAAGATGAAAATATATTTTAAGGCTATCACAAATATTTTTAGTATTGAAACTACATTTCTCGAAACTATTTGAAGGTAAGCTCTAATTTGATTGTTTAGAGCCTAGGCTCTATACAAACCACACCTTTTATTATATATATAATATATAAAATAATGAAAAAAAATAAAAATAAAAACAATTTCAAAAATACTTTATATAATTATTCCTTTTTAGCTCAAATATGATCGAAGTGGCAACACCATGGTTCTCTTCGCTTCGGTATATGCATAAAATTTGAAGGCTTCAGCCTCTTCGGCCAAAGCGAAGCGAATTTAACAACATTGTTGCAAAGTCTTGTGATGATATGAAAACTTATTACTATCTCTAGTTATGAAATTTAAAGTTTTAGAAATGGTGGCGATCAAGTAGATCTATGAACACTTGAAAATCTTGAAAATAGACGGTCTAGATAATGTGTTAGGAGATGAATTATTTTTAGGATTAAAAATCCTTTTTTATATATATATGTCTATGAATCTCAAGGCCAAGATAATCAATTTGAAGATTTTACATCATAAGAAAAACCATCTCAGTAGATTCTTACTTGTATAGTATAACCTTCACAGCTTATATAAACTTTTTCCTTACAATTTTGAGAATGTTTAGAGATTATTTATCTTTAATACAATTTTAGGGGTGGTAGTGGGTCGGACCCAACCCAAGGCCCGAGGAGTAGATCCGATCCGGTTCCGAGTATGGGTCTAAAAATTGAACCAGGCAGGTTGGATTTAGGTCAAAATCTTGGACCTAAAACTTAACTTCTAAGTCCCAATATATGAAGGAAAAAGTTTATATAAGGTTGAGGCCCTAAACAATCAACTTAAAGCACACCTCAAAATTTCAATATAATTTTTTTTTTTTTATGCCAAAAAACCCTCAAGTCCAATTATCTCCATCTTGAGATGCATGGACATAAAAAAAAAAAGGACTTCAAGTCTTAAAATAGTGCATCTTGTATTGCATTACCTAGACCGTCAATTTTCAAGATTTTCAAGTGTTCATAGATCTCTCGATCTACACTATTTTTGAAGCTTTAAACTTCATAATTAGATATAAAAATAATTTTTCAGGCCATCTCAAGTATGTTTTATACTGAAATGACATATTTTGACACTATTTGAGGATGTGCCTTTCTTTGATTGTTTAGGGCCTAGGCCTTATATAAACTGTACTAATATATGAAATATATTTAATATGGTTGAATATATAGATATTTTAATATTGGGATCAGGTCGGATTTGGCATCAATCGGTTCCAGGTTTGAGTCCAAACAAACCTAGACTTGACCCGCCCATTACCACCCTTAGATACAAGGAGGTCACAAGTACTTTTAGTCATTAAATGTCAAATTAGATAGTTTGAAGTATGTTGCGATGTTCAATAATTTTTTAAAAACTTGGAGTTTAGTCAATAAAACTCTTACAACCGCTCGATTTGAAATCTAACAAGAGTGGTCGTCACCTCTTTGTACAAAAAAAATAAAGAAAAATTGTCTCATGCTGGCGGGATTACATTTCGACAATTTGTTGTCCCAAGTATAAATCAACCATCTTAAAGATCGATGCAAATAGGTGGTTCATCTAAAAATAGTTGAAACTAACGGTCTAAATGTTTTCTTCATAAAATTACTATTTTTATTCCTTAAATTTTATGTATTTATTTATATTCATGATCTCCATGTTAGACATTACATGTCCTTAAAAATTGGGTCCCAAAATCCATCTCAAAATTAGATTTTAAAGAGTCAA